AAAATCCCAACCCATAATAACCAAGATTTTCTAACAAGGGAAATAACCAGCTTTTCACTTAAATGAGACTTATTACGGTGATTATTTCCATTTAGTCACATGGCGAGGCGTTAATTAATTGTTTTGTGAAAAAAAGGAAAAAAACGTGAATAAACGCGGGGAATCCAAAATTATGCAAATGTTGCTGAATTACGCGAAAAAACGCGGCCGCCACGCTATGGAACAATCGCATAATTCTACGGGGACAGGTAACCGGACGTTACAAATGCATTATGTAATATCGAACAGATTAAATCCTTTTTATCCCCATCCAGAGCATCAGCACCCTAGCCGAGTGTGGTGGTAACCTATAAAGATGTCCTTGTTGTTTTATGCAAGAAAAATTCTGAAATTACACGTATGCAAACTGAGCCCAAAATGTGAAATTATGCGAATCTTTTAATTTTAACAAAGAAAGACAAGGAAAATAATACGAAATTATGCCCAAAAAATTATCCAATTTTGCTAAATTAGGCGGGGTGCATAAAACCACGGGGACAGATAAAGGAAGTTTGGTATGAGACAAACTTGAGTACAAACATTTATTTTGTTTTTTGTTTCAGTAATATTAATGGCTCTTGCAACATGTCATTTATAAGTGCCATAGAAGTTTTGTAGTTTTAGTATGGTTTTTACGGTGCTCGCAACTGCATAAGGTCATATAAGCCGCATCCGATCCGGACATTGGGGATTGCCTTGTTAGTGAGACAACTTCCTGGGCCTTCGGCTTATTGTGGCAGGGTGGCCAGTTCCTTTCCACATCGTCTTTACTTCCCCCTCTAAGTCTAAGTCAGGTACTCATTACTGCTGGGTGGGCAGGACGGGGCGAAAAATATGCGTGTCCAAACTGAGGCTCGAACCCGGACTTTCCGCTTCGGAGACAAGCGCACTAACCGCTCCGCCGCCACACCCTACAAGAGAGTAACAAACATAAAAAAGAAGAAGGGGAGATAAGGATTATATATGTTTGATAGGAAAGAAGAAGCAAACCACACCAGACGTCCAGAGCACCCACCAACCAGCCACCCATAAAGGTTTTCCAAGAGAGTAGCAAACATAAAACATGTTTAAAAACGTTGATAGGAAAGAAGGAGACCCACTAACCATCCAAGGGCAGAGACAGAGGCTCTAATACATGCAGCAAACATCATCAAGAATATGGTAGCCACTACCCAAAGCCAAGTAGTATTCCTAACAGATGCCATGTCAGTACTGCAGGCAATCACTTCCGGCAAACTACCGAGGCTACGAAAAGTAATTGAAGTCATCCCATGTCTGAGGATAATGCTGCAGTGGATTCCATCACACTGTGGTGTCTTAGGAAATGAGCAGGCAGACAGGATGGCCAAACTAGGAGCACAGAATGAGCAACCAGACAACAGCGTTAACTACACAAAATAAAAACTAGTATAAATACACTATTTAAAGCACCTCAGACACCAGATGGCTACCATGAGCTGTCCCGCCAAGAACAAGTGATTATCTTCAGACTAAGGCCACAACTACACAAGACTGAGACAACATATGTATAAATGTTTTAAACTAGTACAATCACCAAAATGCCAGTGTGGAGAGTCGGACGCGAACCAAACTGTTGAACACATCCTTCAGCACTGCAAGACGCACAGGGCCCTGAGACAGGAAATGTGGCCAACCCCACTGACGCTACAAGAGAAGCTATACGGGCCGACAGATGAACTGAGCAGGATGGCTCAATTTATGACAGATACCAGACTTCAAGTGTGATTCGATCGAGAAGAAGAAGAAGACTAACCATCCTAAGGTGTACAAACTGTTCGTCTGTCCTGGAACTAACATCTGCTCTACTACTTTACACTGTCCCCGTAGAATTATGCAAATTTAGATGGCCAAATTATGCACAAAAAAGCAAAATTATGCAAAAATTATGCAAGTTACCGTAACACCATTCGCGACATGTTTTGCACTTTTTCAACACGAAGTTTCATGGTTTTCATGTTTTATGAACAGAAAAATTGAAAACAGAACATATCAGTATCAGTAATTTGTTGTATATTTGGAAAAGAAAACAATACACATCATTAAAAAAAAAAAAAAAAAACCTACCAAAAATAATAATCTTTGTAACTTTCAGCTGTAGATCTAGATCTAGATCTATTGAGGAAAGAAACATGTTTTAAAAAATATTTTTAAAAGAACCTCTGGACCTCTGATGCTGGCGCATTACTAAAACCAAGAACCCTTGTCAAATATGAAACATCAGCAGACTTGAGAACAACAACTTTGGATCGATTGAAAAATAGAACATGCTCAAGAACAAAATCACAACCCATTTAACCAAGATCTTGTAACAAGGGAAATAACCAAATTTTCACTTAAATGAGAGTTATTACGGTGATTACGTCCCTTTAGTCACGAGGCGGAAAAACCGGGAAAAAACGCGGATAATCCAAAATTACGCGAATGTTGCAGAATTACGCGAAAAAAACGCGGCCGCACAATCGCATAATCCTACGTGGACAGTATGCACCCTGGGGTCAAAAGTACCCCCGCTACAATCAACTCTTGTTTGTTTGAGTGAGTAAAGAGAAGCACATCACTACAACTACAATCAACTCTTGTTTGTTTGAGTGAGTAAAGAGAAGCACGTCACTACAACTACAATCAACTCTTGTTTGTTTGAGTGAGTAAAGAGAAGCACATCACTACAACTACAATCAACTCTTGTTTGAGTGAGTAAAGAGAAGCACATCACTACAACTACAATCAACTCTTGTTTGTTTGAGTGAGTAAAGAGAAACACATCACCACATACTGACGGCCATTTAGACCAGGAAAAGGTACAGTCATTATAGAAAGAACAGAGGAAAAGTAAAGAAGTAGGAGTGAGTAAAGAGAAGCACATCACTACAACTACAATCTACTCTGTTCCTACAGAATACGAGTGGTGTTCAGCCTATGACTCGCTCGAATAATTATTTTTTTTTAAATACATCGTGTACAAGGGAGTTAACCTATTGAAGACGTGCATTCAAATTCAAGTGTTCCAACAATGAAGACGCACTTTTCCTTCGTTATTCATACAGATTTTTCGACTCAATTTTCAAAATTGAGCACATTATGAATGTGTAAGCAAATTTTAGCTTCTGATTAGTGTCTGGGTATGAAGGAATCATGGTAGAGTAATGAAATTTCGTAATGGGGTCCTCCTACTGCATGACCGCGCCCCTGCGCACAACGGTCCAGACAGCGGAACAGTGAGGCTTAGAAATCCTGCCACAGAAGACTGGTCAAGGGCCCATTCTGGTTCATTTTTTTTCTCAAGGACTTTTGAAAGTCAAAGAGAGGTGGCAGAAATGTGTTACTCTGCATGGTGACTAATATGTAGATCAATGCAAGTTCATTTTTTTTCTCAAGGACTTTTGAAAGTCAAAGAGAGGTGGCAGAAATGTGTTACTCTGCATGGTGACTAATATGTAGATCAATGCAAGTATGTGTACCAAGTTACAAAGATTTATCTTTATTCCTTCATATATTTAGACCAAAGACTTCTTGAACCCACCTCGTAGTTCAAAATTGCCACAACATTGCGTTTGGTCTGCCGAAGATTTTACGGCAATTGCTCACACAATGAGGTCATATGAGTGCTGAAGATGACGGTGTTACAAGAGAGTAGCAAACATAAAAAAGAAGGAGAGACCAGGATGATAGATCTAGATGTTTGATAGGAAAGAAGGACCAGAGCACCCGCCGGAGCTGAAAGTAAAAAAATGGGGTAGGTTTAACGTCCCTATCAACACTATTGAGTTATTCAAGATCTATCTCCGGAAGGGCTGAGCCAAAATGGGAAATTCATGCAGTGCTTTTCCCAAGGACACAACACTGGGCCGAGCTAAGGCTTGAACCTCCAAGCCTTCAATCTCACGCATACAGGCCTGGCACCCTAATCACTAGGCTACCGATACCACCTGAAAGAGATAACGTGTCACTATTTGTAAATAAAACAGTAACGAGGTATTTATTTATTTATTTTCTTGTCCATTGGAATAGTTGTTAGTCTATTTAACTACATTTTTAAATACAGATTAATATATTAAGCAGTGAATCAATTATAATAATTTTTTTTATTAGTGTGACCATTATTATGTTATTATCATTATTACTTTTAAATTATCATTATTTATTGTTTCTACTATTCTTCTTTTTCTTCTTGCGATTATTATTGTTATTATTATTGTTATTATTATTATTATTATTATTATTATTATTATTATTATTATTATTATTATTATTATTATCATTATTATTATTATTATTATTATTATTATTACTATTATTATTATTATTACTTTTATTATTATTTTTCTTGTCGTTTTCGCTGTCGTTGCTGTTGTCACTAGTATGATGATGATGATGATGTTGATGATGATGATGGTGATGATCATTATTATCATTATTATTATTATGGGGTGGTTGCTGTTGTTGTTGTTGCTGCTGCTGTTGTTATTATGGGGGACAGGGGTGAGAATTAAGCACATTGCCTTAATGTCTCACAAAGCTGCTCATTCCACCACATATATATATATAATAAGGATAAGACATGTTCAGCCAAATGATTAAATGTCTCAGTTGCTACATAAATATTTTCTTTTTGCTTTTCTCCCTGCAGGCGTATACAACAAAAAAAAGACTTCTCTAAGTTCAGTGAAATTCAATGGGTTTCACTCAGTGTGTTTATTGGACTGTTCAGGTATTGAAACTTTTTAACCTCTTTGAGTTTCATGACGTATTAACCTCTGAGCCTGATGATGTATTGATCAGTTATGACAGCATCAGTGATAATTGAAGTCTCAGTTAAGAAGAA